TTCTGCCACATCTGTAGACATCTATGTCATTGGTGTGAGAATAACACTGCCTTCCAGTWAAGGACACACTCACACACACATGGTGTGAGGTATCAGTGAGTTGTTGGATCCCAGAGAGGCAAAAGGCCTGAAGGATGTAGGACCCAGAAGAGTGGCTGGCTTATGGTCTGGTTCAGAAATGGCTCATTATCTTGTCACCTGCAGGAACTGCTGAATGTTGGCCCAAATCCTCCCCACCTCCTCTACTGGCTGCCAATTTCCTTCTCAGAAACTTGACCTTGCCAGGCCCCTTCTTCACCTGCTCCATTCCTTTCGGCTGCAGGGTGCATCTCCCTCAACCTGTTTTGCCCACATACCAAGCAGTTCAAATAAGGGCTGCTGTGTGTTGCCCCCTATACCAGTGATATAGTTATTTGTTCATGGTCTTTATCAGACAAGTAATCTTAAAAGTAAAATACCTGAACAGGCTGTGGCCAAAATTTTGACCCTGCACTTGGATATGTGAAGTCTGAAGATCCTTGGATCTCTTTGATCAMACCAGGTCCCACGTAGGCAAAGTTGGCAGTGTGTTCCCTCAGCCACATGGGCAGTGTTCATTCCTACCAGTAATCAAGAACAGCAGCTGCTTCCAGTGAAGAAGGACTACAAGAAAAGCAGTAGTACCAGTGATAAAGAAAGTTTTCTCACAAATAGTCACAAAAATGACACAATAAATAGGTAGCATTAACTTTTTAAAAATTGGAGAAAGTGATATCCCCCCCMCACACACACGCACACCCCCAAAAACTTGTATCTTTTAAAAAATTTTTTCTTCTTGGTCAGTTCTTTTTAACTTTTTAGGGAACAGATGATTCCTGCCTTTATAGATTATTTCAGAATATAAAGAAGATAGGGCTATCAAGTACAACTAAGTAAAACAAATTTAAAAAGGAAAAAAAGAAGAAGAAGATAGGGCTAGGGATATAGCTCAATGATAAAATGCTTGCCTAACATGCATGAAGCCCTGAGTTCTATCTCCAGTACCACAGAAAAAAATAATTTTTAAAAATTAGAGAAGATAACTGCCAGGTCATCTTCTGTGGAGGTGCAGTCCTATAATCTCAGCAACTCAGAAGACTGAAGCAGAAAGATCTCAAGTCAAGGCTAGTCTAAGCAAGTTAGTAAGACCCTGTCTCAAAATTTTATGAAAATAAGAGCTGGAGCTATAACTCAGTGGTAAAATGCTCCTGGGTTCAATCCCCAGTATGAAAAAAGAAGATAGATGCTGTTCATTTCCATCTATGGAGGAATCATCACCCTGAAATATTCAGCTCAAGAAAGAAACTATTAATTTTGCAAATGAATAGAGATACTTTTTAGGTAAAATAAATGTCTCCGGAGGGAAAAACTGCCAGTGTCCTAGACATCTTTCACTTGGTGTCTTTCATTAAGCCTAATTATTTTGAGAGTATCTACATGGTTACATGTAGCAATAATTTTCTCCATTTTCTTGGTATTCCATTCTATATACTTAACCTTTGGTTTGTTCATTCATTGTTGGATGTTGGGGTGGTTTCAGTTTGGGGATATTGTGAATTCAGCTTCCATGAACATTTTGAAACACGACTTTGTATGGGTATTTGCTTTTCCTTCCCTCAAGGCATAAAATCTCAAACTAACAGAACACATTACAGTAGAGCAAAGAATGAGTGTGCAAGTTGTGGGAGGACACAGGAGTGATCACAGGTGGCCAGAACAGAGGACTCAAGCACAAGTTGAGCTTTTGGTGGTAACACGTTTGATTACAAGCTATTTTTTTTTTTTTTATGAACTCTCCATTTCTTTTGGAATCAAGTCCTGAATCCCTAGCCTCTTTTGACCACTCACATTAGATTTATATTCCCCCTTGCAGAGCATTTGTGCACAGAGGGTTATAATAGTTGAGGTGAGTTGCTGATTTTGTGCCAGGATTCATACACATGCTTCACATGCATTATTGTGTATAAGCCTTTTAGGAGCCCCGCAAAGGAGATGCCATTATTTTTTTCCCCTTCCTCCATATTTATTCATTCTCTTTCCTGCCCGCCTCTGCCCTCCACTGCTGGGAAATCAAACCAAACTCAGGGCCTCTTGCATGCTCGGCAAGCTTTCTACAACTTAGCTAAGATACCAGTTGAGACACCATTAGCATCCCCACTGTGCTTTGAGGAAAAGCAAGGCTCAACCAAGTTAAGGAAACTGCCCACAATTGTATGACTAGATAGTTGGCTGGTTGGATGTTAATCCAAACTTAAGATCTGGCACTTTCAAACACAATATTGTATACCTTTCCTCACTGCAAGGGTAGATTATGAATAGAATTTAAAATGCTAATTTAAACTGTTCTCCCACATCTAATTAATTCCTATATTTCTTAGTGTGTCAGCCCAGTGGCTTCTTTTGGATTGCCCAGACTTAGTCAGATCACACTGTGGGGTGTCTCGAGGCACCAAGTATCTCTCCCAAAGCCTGCCACAGCCCTGAGTCTGTCTTACTGGGCTGTGAGCACAGTGCCTGTGTGGATACTGATCTTTGCTGCCTGATTGTCTAATGCCTACAAGATGCCAGATGTTCAGTAGTGACTGCCGAATGATCCTAGGGTAAGAGTAATTTAATAGCATTACCAGATATGAATACTTGTCATCAGTTTTATTGAGGTATTTGTATAAGCTTTGTTAACTTATTGTTTGCATTTGTTTTATTTAGGTGTTATTTATTTATTTATAGTAAAATTGACCAATTCGCCTTACTTTAATGAGTCTTTTTTTTTAAACTGTCTTTTGTGTGGTAGATAATGCTTTCTCTCCCTTTTTTTAACCTTTATTTTATTTTTTTATTTTTATGTGGTGCTGAGGATCGAACCCAGCTCCTCACAAGTGCTAGGCAAGCGAACTACCGCTGAGCCACAATCCCAGCCCAGTTTAATGAGTCTTAACAACTGTGTACAATCATGTAGTCATAGCCACAATCAAGATAAAGAATACTCCCATAACTTCAGATTCCCTCATGTGCCTTGTGTTTGATTTCCTTCTCTATCCCAGCTCCTGGCAATCATCATTCTTATATTTTCTGTCCCGGTAGTTTTGCCTTTTCTAGAATTTCAGAAAAATAAAATCATAGAGTCCACAATTTTTTGTGAATGTGTTGTATACCTTGGCATATTGCTTTTGAGGTTCATCTCTGTTGTTGCATGTCAACCATTTTTAAAAACCACCTTAATTTTTTTAATTAGTCCAGAAATAAGAAACCAATTCCAATAATGTTTAGTGTGGTTGAAGCAGCAATTCTCAAAGTCTGTTCTGCACACTTGGGGGTGGGCCCCAAGATCCTCTGTAAGTTCAGTGATTTTTCATAACATTGAGATGTAATTTACCCTTTCCACTCATCCAAGTATAAGAGGAGTTTTTCAAACACTGTGCATCATGTGATACTACAACAAATTGAAGGCAGAAGCAGATAGGATCCATCTACCTTCTGTTGAGCTGCCTGATTTAAGGAAATTTATAAAAATGTGAATGCCACTCTTCTCACTAAAACTGTGTTAAAAATAAAATAGAACTATTTTTCATGACAAATATTAATCATTAACATGTATTGGGCTGTTTATTATTTTTAAATTTTTTAAATATTTTTTTAGGTGGACACAATATCTTCATTTTTTTGGTTTGTTTTCATGTGGTGCCAAGAATCTAACCCAGTGCCTCACGCATGCTAGGTGAGCACGCTACCACTTGAGTCACATCCCCAGCCCAACTGTTTATTATTAATAGATAAATTGATACACTTTTTTGCAGTGTTAAAGATGGAACCCAGGGCCTCGTGCATGCTAGGCAAGTGGTCTGCACTGAGCTGCACTCCCAGCCCTAGACAAAATACCTTAATTTTAACTTTTCATATGATGGATAATAATTCATAGAAGCTATATAAACAGACATTTCTGTAGAGAGGTGCTGAGACCAAGCAGTGTGAGAATCTTTGGATTAGAGACATTTTTGATAAGGCCTCAGGAAGAGAAAGGAGAGATTCTGATGCTGGGGAGGGATAAGAAGGGGGTCTTAAAACCCTAGGGTTACWGAGTGTGAAGGGCCTAGAGAAGGGATGGGGCCCAGGGGTAGGTATAAATGCCAGGACAGGGCTTGACAGTCACAGTCTTGTTCTCAGCCCTCTGTCATCTCCTTGGACCTGGCTGGACAGGTTCTTCTGATATCCTGATTGTACATGCTTCCTACAAATAGCAAATGAGTAACTAACAAGGGCAGTTAGTTCACAGAAGGGTGACTGCAAGGCCCAGAGAAGGCTACTGTTTGCTGAGATGAAGTGGCAACTGGGCTATGATGTCAGGTGGGGTGCTTTCTAAGTCTGCTGTGTGCCGGATGATGATGATGATGATGAGGGTTATTATTATTATTGTTACTAATACTACTGTTATTATTATTATTGGTACTGGGAATTAAACCCAGGGGCATTTTACCACTGAGCTACATTTCTAGCCATTTTTCATTTTGAGACAGGATCTCATTAAATTGCTGAGGCTAGCCTCAAATTTTACCACTGAGCTACATTTCTAGCCATTTTTCATTTTGAGACAGGATCTCATTAAATTGCTGAGGCTAGCCTCAAATTTGTGATCCTCCTGCCTCAGTCTCCTGAGTCACTGGGATTACAGGCGTGTTCTATGCTCCTGGCTGTCTGCTGAATTCTTACCCGAGAGCAATCATAAGAAATCAATAGGATTGTTTCTTTGGCTTTCAGGAAAAATAAAGACAAAAACTCTCCTCCTACTCAATATAATTCTAAACTCAAAAGATTCTCTGAAGTAATTATTTTGACAAAAGCAGATGGGAGGCTACTATTATTACTGGCAATATTCTGAGGAAAAGATGTGTGTGGTCCTCATTTAATGACTTTACCAGTGCTATTAATAAACAGTGACAAAATTGGACCTACTGATTTTTAATCTTTTAATTACTTCTCTCTTGCAGACGAAAGGGCCTATGGTTCCGACTGAGGAAGATACTTCTCTGTGTTTTGGGGTTGTACATTGCCATTCCATTTCTGGTCAAACTATGTCCTGGGATACAGGCCAAATTGATATTCTTGAATTTTGGTAAGTGGTGTATGTCAAATTTTTAATAAATTCTAGAATTTATTTCCATAATGATGTCTGATTTTAGTGTTTTTTTTTTTTTTATTTTAGTTGAGATTGAAGTTGTACCTAGTAAAATTTATAAATCTTAAAGATACAGTGCATAGTTAGGTAGGTAGTTAGAGCCACCACCCAGTTTAAGAAATAACACATTTCCATTGCCCAGGAAATTCCCTATGGCCTTTCCCAGTTGTAATGATTTTGTAATGATGGCTTGCCCTTCAGTGCTGCATTGTGTCCCACAATGACTGTACTGTGTTGGGTGTTGGGAACCTGTCTTGAGCTGTGGTGAATAAAATGTTGACGATGTAAAAAGTCAGCTGCCATGTTGGAGATGATTTGTCACTTGTACAGTATAGGAAGTTAACTGTCCTTGGAAAACAATGACCAATGAAAAATTTAGCAACTTTAAAAAAATAGTAATAATAATAATTAGGCCTTTTCTTTTTTTCTTTTAAAAAATGTCTATTTTTTCCTCCTGAACAACACCTTGACACACAGGCTGGGGATGTAGCTCAGTGATAGAGTGTGCTTGCCTCGTTTATATAAAGCCCTGGGTTCCATCCCTAGTACCAAAAAAAAAAAAAAACTGACATGGTTTGATTTTTGTGGAATTTCATGCTGGCCTTTTAAGTGGTATAGGCTCTTTGTTAGCTTGGACCCGGTTTTCAAAATTGTTTTGGGGGAAGTTGGAAGAAATGGTGTGAAAGTATCAAGCCTATGAGACAAAAGGCAGAAGGTAACCAGATGTGGGAACAGTCCCTTTGGGAGAATCATTTCACACTCAACCCATTTACTGCATGAAATAAGTCCTTGAAAATGAACGTGGACATCATTGGAATTGGATGAGGAGGGCTCTACACAGGCTGCTTGCCTGCTCTTTTGCAGGGTTGGTTTGAAAAGAGTGACTTTGGCCCTTGTGTAGATAGAAGCTTGATTCTCAGGAAGCTGGACTTCATGCTGTAGAAGCAGCAGGAGACTCTGTCAGGATTAGTGGGAATTGCAGGGAGAGGGTAGATGGGAGGAGCTGTGAGGTGCTGGTTGATGTGGATAGATGTGTGGTTTAGGAGATGCAAAGCCAGGAATTGGTGGAGGGTGGCAGGCACCTCTCTAGTGGTGCAGCACATTTGGGCTATGAATCTATAACAGACTTAAATCACAGAAACTTGGAGACGACTGACTAACATGGAATTTCTGCTCCCAACCCCCAACACTGTTCTGTTCCTACAGAGGAACACTGTAGAGGAACACTGTTCCTACAGAACAGTGAGGCCAACATTTAATGCTTTGTAAATCCAAATCAAGGTTTTTATTTTGGTATGTTATAATAACTGTAAAATACTTTCTACTAAGAGACACATTTGATTTTTCTTTTTTCTTTTTTTTTTTTTTTTTCTTTTTGGTACCAGGGATTGAACCCAGTGTTCTTAACCACAAAGCCACATCCCAGTTTTTGTTTTTTTTTTTTATTTTGAGACAAGGCCTCACTAAGTTGCTTAGGGTCTTGCTAAATTGCTGAGGCTGGCTTTGAACTCACAGTCCTCCTGTCTTGGCCTCCTGAGTCGCTGGGACTACAGGAATACACCACCATACCTGGTGACATTTGATTTTTCTAATGGAAAAATTAGCCAAACTTCTAGAAATTTATGCTTACTAGAGGTTTTACCACTGTGAGAAGCACAACTTAAAAAGAAACTACGATATACTAAAATCAAGGAAGCTTTACTTTTCTGACATTAATGCCCCTTAAATATAAAAAGAAGAGAATTGGGGGTTCTATATAAACACAAAAGCACAGGGCTGCAAATTTGCTAGTGACAAACTTGAATGGATTCTGCATGGTCATTTTAACTTTGCTGGCCCTTTCTTGCCTCAGGCCCCTGGGGACAACAGGGTTGTGTGAGGCATGTTATCCCCTGGGGCCTGGCATACTGTGGGGCCTCAGCAAAGATATGAATTGAATTTTCTTTAGGTTATTTATTGGGTTACTTTAGGTATAGTCCACAAATTTTGCTGGGCTGCTTTCCTAAGAAGATGGCAGATTGTTCCACCAGAGTAGAACTCTGGGTAGAATTAGCCTCTTTGGCACAGAGGGGAGGGCTGTGCATGCGCATTGGGGCTATCACAAGCCCCCAGGGAAATATCAGTCCTTAACACTTTCCTTTACATGTCTGTTACATGGAAGTAGGAAGCTTATGGAAGGTTTTCTTGGTTTTTTGGTTTGTTTTTTATCTCATTATTTTTTGCTCTGCTAGGAACAAATCCAGGCCCTCATGCATTGCTAGGCAAGTGCTCTGCCAGTGACCTACACCCCTAGCCCTATGGCAGTGTTTTGTTTTTAAGGGAGATTTTTAGTTGTCAAATAGATAAATACTGGTTTGGGGCCTCTTTTGAAAAGTTACTCAAAAAACTGGTACTAGGAGCAGCAATTGGACATTTCCTGCATCTTCACCCACCTGGGCACCTGCCTGTCTCTATACAACAGATGTCCCCTCACTCAGAACTGAGGAACCCTGGTCTCCAGGCCCTGCCACCCTCCCCAGGCAGCTGGAATGGGTCATGACAGCCCTTGAGGTCCTCATCAAGAATAGCCTTTTGTTTGCTGGGAGAAAGGGACATTCTCTGCACAGCTGCTTGAGGCTCCTGGCTTGTCAGTTTTTCTGTTCTTACTGTGTCAAGGTTTAAATGTCCTTGCCCATCTTCCCTGCTTTAGAGGTAGAGGAGATGGTAGTTTGGGCGCCCCCTGGTGGTGACCTGGAATTTTGCCTTAAGCCAGGAGAAGGCCTGTGTGGAGGGAGAAGGTACCTCTCTTCTTATCTCCCCCAGATTGGTATCATGACCTGGTGGCTGGCCATTTTGACATTGAAGGAACTATAACAATCTTTTGGGCCCCAGAACATGGTTAATATGGTCTTAAGTTCACAGCAAATCTGAAACCAAACTTACGAATCAGATAAATAAACTTTAGAAGCATAGCATCTGAGATTTTTTTTTTATATTTATTTTTCGATTGTAGTTGGACACAATACCTTTATTTTACTTGTTTATTTTTATGTGGTGCTGAGGGTCGAATCCAGGGCCTCGCACATGCTAGGCAAGCACTCTACCACTGAGCCACAACCCAAGCCAGCATCTGAGATTTAATGCATTAGTCTACTCTAAATACATTTTCATCAGCAAAAGGAATGTCTTTTGTGGTTTTGTGTTTTGTTTTTGTTTTTACAATACTAGGGACTGAACTCAGGCCCTCACCCTTGCTAAGCAAGCATTCTACCACTGAGCTACATCTCAACCCCTTTTAAAATTCTATTTTGAGACAAGGTTTCAATAAGTTGTCCAGGCTAGCCTTCGACTTGAACTTGGGATCCTCCTGCCTCAACCTCCTGAATAACTGGGATTACAGACATGCAACAGTAAAATATATCATCCTTCTAAAACAAACAAACAAATAAGTTGGTCAAAAACTCTGAATAGCTTAAATAACAATAGAAGTCTCTCCGAGAAACTCTTTGCTAACACTGTAGTATCTTGTTTCTCTCGTGTGTGTGTGTGTGTGTGTGTGTTTTGTGTGTGTGTGTGTGTTTTGTGTGTGTGTGTGTGTGTCTATCTATCTGCTTTTCAATACTTGGGACTCCAAGTCTGATTCCATCCAAAATATGTCCAGGTGATACCTGTCATCTGTGGTTTGGGAATCTGGAATATGTTCCTGGCTGTCATTCTGCCCTCCAATCAGGGATCAGGATGGCATATCCGAATGAGAAGTAAAAACAGACTGTTAGTTCAGAAGCCAGGAAAATAACTCTAGTCTGCGCACATTGCCTCGGGCCTTTCTTGGAACTAAGTTAGATTCCTATCCCCAGCTTTCTTTTCTTCCTTGCAAAGCAGTCAATGTTAACTCCCTATAGTTGTCTTTTTTTATCCGTTTGCTTCCTGGGGAAGCCCCTGTATCCCACATCAAGTAATTAGAATTTGATAAAACTCAGATAACCTGCTCAGTCTTTTCCTTTGTTGATACCACACCTGGTACCAAGTCTGCCCTATTACTCACAGTGATCAAAATGACATGAAGCCCCATACTAAAGACCCTCAGGCCATCACAAATGCCTGTCACAACTCAGTGGTGTTACCAGTGTCACCTTTTACCCAATATATTTTCCAGATTCACTACAAAAAAATATGACAAGTTGGGCAATATGGTGCACCCATATAACCCCCAATACTTGGGAGGGTGAGGCAGGAGAAGGATCCCAAGTGCAAGGCCAGCCTGGGCAACCACATGAGACTATGTCTCAAAATAAAATTTAAAAGGGCTGAGGATGTAGTTGTAGGGCTTGCATAGGTAACATGCAGAAGGGACTGGGTTCAATTTCCAGTACCATATAGACACACAAAAAGTATTACAGAGTAGGTTGCTTTCTATTCCTTTCACATGTTTATTCACCTACTCTACTAAGTGCTTGTATATGCAAGATCTTTTCTAAATCATGCATGTTGATGTCTGTGGTTGCTGATAGCAACAGCATAGCCAAAAGGTAGATAATGAAAAACTGGGGAAGAAGCCTAAGGACACAGGTGAGTCCTGCTTATCTGGGTGTCAGGGACCTACATGTGGATTTCCTGGGCTGTGCACTCAGCCCTGTTTGAGGTGAGCCTATAAGAAACATTCATAGAGAGGAGTACCCTTGCCCAGGGGCCCACTCATGTGGTGCTGCCCATAGGCCATACAATCTGTCCCTGCTCCAGTCTGTATTAAGCAGGAGGTTGGGCTCCAGTCAGCATTTAGTCACTAGGGCCTCAAATGGCTGATAGCCAAGGGAGATCTGATCATCTGGGAGGTTAGAGGATCCTATGTTCACCTGGTATGAGCCAGCAGGACTGAGGCACTTCTAGCCCAGGCATATCTCTCAGCACTGTTCAGGCCAGCTCCACCTCACACACACCCTGTCCTTCCCTTGCTTGGTGACATTTCTGCTTATTTAGTCCAGCACTGGCTAAGTGATTCTTACAGCCACCAGTCTCTGGAGCTGTTTGATCCTGGAACTGACCAGGCCTCATGTCAGAGAGTCCTCACACTAGAGGACTGCTAAGTAAAAGGGGTGGTGTCCACTGAACTGCAGAGCATTCATTGTGCCTCCTCTAAATCTAAATAAAAGGAAATTTGGAGACCAGCTTCCTAGAATGAGGCTATCTAGAATAAAATAGGGCCTCTTGGTTCCTGAATTTCTTGGGCTTGGAAACTTTCTGGATTAGTGCTAATCCTCAGAACATTTGGCAGTGGCCAGGGAATCCTCTTAGAATACCAGGGCAGTGTTTTAGTACTGGCCTCCTTCTTTGGACAAGAACTGAGCAAGATCTGAAGCCAAGCCAGCAGAGGCCTAGTGCATCAGCCCTTAATTGACACCACCCTCCATTTAGTTGTGGGGTGGGGAAGATCAGTTCCAGCTTCAGAGGCAGGCCTACTTAAATGAGTCTGGGTATAGGGATTGACAGTGGGCACCAGGTTGGAATACTTAGTTTTATTAAGGGCGTCATCTTACCTCACAGTTGTTAGATGGTGATGGTGATGCACATCAAACCTTAGCTTTCAGGTTCCAAAAGCATGCAATAGAGCAACAAAGTAGAGACATTGGAGTGGGTCATGAAGTGGAATCACCTTCTAGGCCTTCACTGGGTCCTCCTGCCAGGATAAAATCTGAGCTCCTTTATTGTGGTTGTGTCCATTTCTTGGGGTGCCCTAATAAATACACAGACTGGGAAACTTAAAACAGAAATTTACTCCCTCACAATTCTGGAGGACAGAAGTCTGACAGTAAAATGTCAGCCAGGCTTGCACTTCATCTGGAACTCTGGGATAGAGTTGTTGTTGCCTCTTCTATCATCTGGTGACGGCCAGAACCCCTTGACATCCCTTGGCTTGTAGATGCATTGGTCCAGTCTCTGCCCCATCTTCTCATACACCTAATGACCTCATTTAAGCCTAATTACCTCAATAAAGATCCTGTTTCTGAGTAAGGTCAAATTCTTAGGTTCAAGGCACTGGGACTTTCAAATATCTTTTGGAGGGACATGATAGCCTGTAACAAGGACACTTCAGGAAAGCTTTTAAAATTTAGTCTGCTTCTTATTGAAGAGATGGATTAAGAAGTTGGTGGCAGAAACAACAGTCCAGTGGAAGATTTGTCTCCTGGCATGGTATGGGGTAGACACTCAGGAGTTTCTGGGAAAGGAGCATGTATGTTCCCATGTCCTCGTGAGTCAGATGGTTCATTTATTCAGCAAATGTTCCTCAAGTCTTGGCATTTGAGGAAGTGAGAACTAGACAAGCACAGTGCCACATGATGTATGAGGTTAGTAGTGAAACCCTCTCTTCACCAAAGAAAGCAGTCAGCAGCTAGCGCTTCCTCCTAAAGACGAGGTTATGCCACACGTCAGTCTTTGTCACTGTGCCTGCTGTTTTAAGTGAAGAAATTGCTTCTCAGGGTTTGTGGGGGTTTTATTTGAGTTTTTCATTTTCAATTAAATTTCTCTTCCAAAGGTTGTGTTTGCCACAAGTAATAAAAGTACCATGGCGGGGCTGGGGATGTGGCTCAAGCGGTAGCGCGCTCACCTAGTGTGTGTGCGGCCCGGGTTCGATCCTCAGCACCACATACAAACGAAGATGTTGTGTCCACCGAGAACTAAGAAAAAAATAAATATTAAAATTCTCTCTCTCTCTCTCTGTCCCCCTCTCTCTCACACTCTCTCTTTTAAAAAAATAAATAATAAATAAATAAAAAAATAAAAGTACCATGGCATATAAGGGAAAAATTAAGCATCCCCCCCCCCGACACACACACCTGGCATATATCTTTCTGTATTTTCCTGAGCCACACACACAAATGGGTTGTTTATGTTGACTCTGATTGTGTCTGCAGTAACGGGGTGGGGTTGCATAGTACCTTGTGCAATGGCTCCTTTCCTGCTCCTCTCATCTGCCTTTGTGTTCTGGATAATCCTCAATCTAAAGGCCCCATGATTTTCCAGTTTGGGGCAACAGTTTATTCAGCCCTCATTCTACTGACAGGTGACCTCTTCACTATAGGACTCCTGTTGCCTCATTGCATTCCCAACTTTACTTACTCTGGACAGGATTCCATGAACTCATTTATTTCACTGCCCCCACACCTCATTTTTTTGCTGTTCTTCCTGCATTAAGGGACAGTATTAGAAACTTTTTACCTCCTGCATTCATTGGATCCTTGGGTCCTGTGGGTCCAGCCCCAGAACATCTCATACATCACCCCTTTCCCATCAGCCTTCCACCTACGCCAGCCCACACCTCCAAGCACAGCTTAGCTGAGCTCTTATGCAGCCTCCTCAGGCCTGTTGAGGACATTTTCTTCATTCTCTTGCATCTCCTCACACCTTGAACAACCTCTCTGTTTCCAAGATCTGCTCAGATCCCATCCTTACTGCAGTACCTAGGAAGCTCTTAGTGCTCCAGAACCCTCAGACCCATCCCTGCTTGGGCCTAGGGGGTCCCATATGGTAGGGATCCTGAAGAAATAGTACTTTTACTTTTTGAGAGCTTCACCTCTGCTGTAAGCGTTGTATTTGTTGACACAGGCGTATGTGTGCAGACATGTATTTTATGAGTAGGTGTGCTTTTATGGGTGTGCATGTACATGCATGTATGCACTTGTGAGTGGGTTATGTGTGAGTGTGCATGTGTTTGTGCATGTGTGTACATGTCCTTCCTCCCCCACTAACTGTGATTTTTATCTCCTTGTCCCCCCACAGTGAGGGTTCCCTATTTCATTGACTTGAAAAAACCACAGGATCAAGGTTTGAATCACACATGCAATTACTACCTCCAGCCAGAAGAAGATGTGACTATTGGAGTCTGGTGAGTGACTGCAATGCAGCTGCAGGGCTGAGGCACCAACTTTGGGGGCCTCTCCAAGAGGCTAGGAGAGACCTGCTTAGCTCTGCTAGTGTCTTTGACATTAGTCTCCAAAGTGTTGGTTGCTCACTTTTACCTTCACCCTTTCCTATTCCACACAGAAATCTCAGCTACATTTGATCCTGATGGTGAAGTATGAAGTGGCACCAAACTCTATCCTGAGGTTTTAAAAACAGCAAAGGCTTTTTAAACTAGATTATTTTTAAAAAGCTTTATTTCCAAGGTAAACAAAAAAATAAGCTGGAAATAAAGAGAATGTAAGCACATAATTGCAAGCACAGGTTTGAATGTACCTTTTCAGAGAAGTGAATATCTAGCTACTGAAAACAGTTTGATTCATTTCCACCTGTAGCACTTCTCAGGAGTGGCAATGGTAGTGCTTGCTGTCTTCTAAGTATTTTCTTTATTTGCCACAAATTTAAACTGGACTTATGCCCTGTGAGTTCTCTTTGTCTCCTTGGAATACACTTTAATGCTTTGGTTTTTTGTTTGTTGGTTAGTTTTTTGGTTTGTTTGTTTATTTAGATAGATAGATAGATAGATAGATAAGCACATGTTACTGAATCAAAGCTGACCAGTCTCACTGTGGCATTTTTTTCCCCCCTCAGAAGCAGCTGTGAATCACTGCCTCTTTATCTAGCCGGGTTTAGTTTTCAGTAGCCATAGAGTCTCTTTCCACTGTCTCAGAAAACTGCTGTGTATGTGAGAAGTTTGTAAATGAAATGCCTTGAGTAGATTCCCAGTGTACACGAGGGGACACTTCTAATAATGGTCCTTAGTAAAGAACTTTAAAGAAAAAGGGAGATTTTTGTTCTTAGAAGTTCGTTGTGGGATTAGAGTCTTTTGTCAGTTTCTGACTTGATTTCATCTGTCAGTCAGTGACACGTGTTCCTGTGGGACTCCTCACTTTCTTATGTCAGAAGCTTGAACTATTTTACTCAGAGCTATTTTATGGGAATGGTTTGGACTCCACTGATGAACATGGATCTGTCATATTGCAGGAGGGGTGTTTATGGTGATGGTATTTAAGTTTAAAACACCAACAACACCTACATAAATTATCAGTTACCCCCAAAAATTTTAATATCAAGTCTCAAAGTAGCAACAGTCATACAGTGTATTTCTGGATGCCAGTCTCTGCTCCATTCATGCCCTGTGCCTTCATGATGATACCAGAGCCTCAGGATATAACAGACTCCATTGACAACTGCCCTCACCATCATCTCATCAGTCAGCATCCTGAAAGAAAGGCTCAAGTGCCACCTGACAGCCATTCTTGGCCATCAGCTTAGAATGCCCATGTCAACAAGTTGAAGGAGAGGCCCAGAAATAGGACCTTTTCTGCTGCCTAGAAGCTTCCTAGAATTCTATCAGGAGCCCAAAGTTTGGGATAGACTGGCTTCTGGAAGCACCTCAGTTTCTAGCACTTTCAAAGTGGACCTACTATTCTGGAGGCTTGATTGTATGATTTATCATGGTAATTATAGTGGCCAGAATCACCCTGAAATGTGATCCTCTTGAATGGATTAGAGATGCAAACAAGATTTACAGAAAATTCTTATTAATTCAAATCGTCCCTGTTGATTAATAGTATTCAATTTGGCCTGAGTTAAAATTAACCTTAACCAGGTGCAGTAGCACATACCTATAATCCCACTAACTTAGGGGATGCTAAGGCAGGAGGATTGCAAATTCAAGGCTATCCTTAGCAACTTAGCAAGGCCTTAAGCAATTTAGCAAGACCCTATCTCAAAATCAACAATAAAAAGGATTATGGATTTAGCTCAGTGATAAAGTACCCCTGGGTTCAACCCCCCAGTACAAAAAAAAAAAAAAAAAGTATCTCTCTGAAAGAGGAATTTGCTAAACAAACTAATGATCTCAGTTGACTGAGATCATGGAATGAGCCCAGTTGATTGTGAACATGTCTCTGCATCCCATGTTGTCCCAGCTCTGCTCCAGAATTCAGGCAGGCTCTTGCCTACAGAAATGGCTCCCCTACCTTGTTAATTGTTACCAGTACAAGCTTTTGAGGCCCATGGCCAATCAGGAAACACTTCTTCTGCAGCTGTTAGCATAAGCCTTCCAGCTTGCAGATCCTAGTTATTTATTCCACTGATGGGAAATGCTGCTGCCCTACTCTATCCTTGTGTAGGTAATGAGCTACTTTCTGCTTTCTGAGACTGGAGCTACCTCTGTAACCCTGCCTATAGTTAACTATTGTGTGCAGAAGAGGTATCTATCCATGCCACTCCCTCTGCTTCTGTCTCTAGGCATACCATCCCTGCTGTCTGGTGGAAGAATGCCCAAGGAAAGGACCAGATGTGGTATGAGGATGCCTTGGCTTCCAACCATCCCATCATTTTGTACCTGCATGGGAATGCAGGGACCAGGTGAGGTAAAGGAAACCACACAGACAGTGCATCCTCCCTGCAGAGCACATTTCCTTTCTGAATGTACTGCCCCCAGGCCACTAGGAGCAAAACCAGAGTCCTATAGATTGAGTTTACATTGCAATGAGTGAGAATGTCCCAAGAATGAAGAAAAAGGCAGAGTTCTTAGGGGTGGGGGAAGGCTGGAGTTTAAGTGAAGTTTACATGAGGCAGAACTTCTACAACAGGCTCAGGCAGAACTATGTGCAAAGGACTAACAGGTCTGGTTTGCAAAGCATACCTCGCTCTGCTTCCTTGGAGACCACAGTGTTGAGCAACTGTGGGAAGCTGTGCCCAGTCAACTTATCTGAAGCCCATCCCTGGATTGAGATGGAAGAGGAGGCCACCCAGAGGGGGATGTTTCCTATTTCCTGCTATAATATTAAAGAACAAAATCCTGTCCCTGTGTAATTTAGGGAGAAGAATTTCTCAGAAGGAAGGAGGATGTGATAGTCACTCAGAGGAAGGGTCCTGATGACACTTGACAGTGGCTACAGTGCATCTTGGGGGAAATGTCTCCTGACCCCTTACCACTGTTTTTCTCTGTTTATTATCCCCATCTGAGATTGGCAGGCAGGTCTGTATTACGTGTGAGATAGCTTCAGGGTACAGACAGGGGCAGGAGAGAAGGCTGAAGGCAGAGGGCAGCCAGCAAAGACCCCAGCTAATGTACGTGGATATGCCAGTCCTCTTGGGCTACCCATCATGGGATCAGCTCTCTGGAGGCAGCTCTGACACCAGCAATGCCAGCATGTCCTAACAGACTTGATGAAATACAAGGCCATATGGTTTTATCACAGATGCTTCTCATGAGTGAGTTTAACAGCTCATCCTTTGAACTGGAGTTGCTTTCCCCACCCAAAGACAGCTGATGCCCCTTCCACCACATGATGTTGTTCAGAAGAGCCTCTGTGGAGTGCCCACGATGGGGGAGGAAGGGAGATGCATTTTCTGTGTGAAGTATTGTTTGAGAACCCTAAAGTCACTGTTTCTGCTGCTTCCTTAGGTCACCTCTGACAGCCAGAAGGAGCTAGCAGGGAGGCAGTGTGCCCCCACAGGGCTGGGGTTGGGGTGGTTGAGGGGGAGGATATTTTATAGGCACAAGTATCAGAGAGAACAATAAAGAGCCCTTTCTAGAGAGAAAGCAGGCCTGGATGTCAGTACTGCAAAGCTGTGCAGAGGGTATTACAGAAAGGCCAAAAGCACAGCCCACAGGATGGTCTCTGTGCCAAGAACAGAGTGCTTGGCTATTGAGTCACGTGTGCCCAGTGCATTTTGTTCTCTTCTCTGTGTGGGACAAGCTACAGAGGGTTTCTCTTCTGCTTTCCAAAGAGCAAGTGGCTACAAACAGCTCTTGTAGCATCTTTCTATAAATAAGAAAACTATAGTTGGCAGTGAATAAGGCACAGTTCTGCAGTTCCAATCACATGGTTTAAAAAAAAAACAAAACAGACAAAGCCTGTCTGTAACTTCAGGTTTGAGAGGAAATGTGACTTTCAGTTTGTCACCCTCCAAAAACCACCTGTGTTACAGGTCCACCTGTATTCTGCCTGGTTCTGTCTGCACCCCTGTCCTCAGAGCCCCTTCTTTAACTAGATTCCCCCAGGGAAGACCTCCTAGAGGGTTTTGGGATCCATTAGTTTGCAGGATCACAGATCCAGATCACTTCCAGATCCTCTCAGCCCCTATTTCTTTCATTCATTCATTCATTCGTTTGTTTGTTTATTTATGCAGTACTGAGGGAACTCATGCCTGCTAGGAAGCCCTCTGCCACTGAGGTACATTCCCAGCCCCTTTTATTTTTTTTTATTTTGAGACATGATATTGCTATATTACTGAAATTAGCCTTGAACTTATGGCATCAACCTCCTAAGTAGCTGGAATTCCAGGCATGCACCACCACACCTAGCAGCCCTTTTTCCTCTTAACTTTATAGAAGGAATTGAGCAAACAGCTACCATGAACTCTTCCAAATTTAACTAAAAACATTTTATAGTATTTATTCCTGATCTTGGAACCATTCCTTTTTATTTTTCCTTCTGCTGTATATTGGCTTTCCTCCATTTCATCATTGTTTCCCTGCAACGTTACTGTGCCACCACCACAGCCATATACTAGAAATGGACTCACTGATGCTTGTTGATCCCTGTTGTGGGGTCTATCCACTGCAATAGCTGAACAACTGGACAGAAAATGGAATGAGGGATAAATGGTCATTATACAGAGAAGTACAAATATGTGAAACATTTAGTGCACTGAGCCTTAGAAATGAGAGATGCTTCAAAAGCTGAGGTGTGCTGGAGAGGGGCTGGAAGCCTGCCATCCCCACATACTATTGTGAGAGGCAAGGTTCTCCTGATGAAATATTGCCAGGTCACAGTGGTACATGCCTCTGTGTCTACAGGTGGGGCAAACGTGGGTGAGGAGACATCAGTACAGGCTGGCCATAGCAGTAAACCTGTTAGCACAAGGTAGGGGGAGCCAAGAGATGAGGACAGGGAGCCTCTGCTAAGCAGAGCACTGACTATCTGCTGAGTCCTAAGGAAATGTGGAGTAGGACAAAAAGGTACCCATCCAGGTTTCGTTGGGGGCACAGCTCTGGATGCTACAGTCCTTGGATGCTAGAAAGCTAGGGAGGGGCTAGATGACAGGGGTAGGAGCAAGTGTGGGCTTGTTCTGTTTCCTTTTGTGTCTTTTGAATGTGGAGCTATAGGTATGCATTTCCTATTAAAAATAAAAGTACCTAACAATAATTAAAATAATTCAATAATTTAAAAATGCTCCTCAGCCAGGCACAGTGACCCATGCCTGTAATCACAGCAGCTCGGTAAGCGGGAGAATCACAAGTTCCAGGCCAGTTTCAGCAACTTAATGAGGCCCAAAGCAAATTAGCAAGGCATTGTCTCAACATAAAAAATAAAAAGGGCTGAGGATATTGCTCAGTGGTTAACCACCTCTGAGTTCAATCCCCAGTACCAAAAAAATTTTTAAAAGTCAGTACTGCCAGAGGCAAGATTGAGGCCACTTAGGAAACCTGAGAAGGATTAAGAGAACCAAGAAAAAGATCATCTGTCCAGTATAGGTCCCTCCTTGGAATGGGTTTGGGATCCCAGACCCTCCAGGATTGACTTGGACATCATTCTCTGAGGTGGGGCACTAACACCCACTTCCTGTTCCTTTCAGAGGAGGCGACCACCGGGTGGAGCTCTATAAGGTAAGTGTCCACAGCTCGCTGGCCAGAACGAGCAGTACTGTTTTATTCCAGGAGGCAGAAACAGAGGGAATCACTTGAATTAATAACTTGTAACGGTAGATGTGCTATATGGTAGTGCCTGGCTGATTTTACCAGGGTTTTTCCCATTATGCTGCCTCTAACTGGCCTCTAAAATCAGAATCCATGCACTTTGTGAATCATCTCCTAACTATTGGCAAAGTGTTTAAAAGGTATTTAATTTTTTTGTTTTATTGGTACTAGGGATTGAACCCAGGGACTCTCTACTACTGAACTGCATCCCCAGTTCTTTTATTTTTTATTTTGAGGTAAGGTCTCACTAAGTTGCTGAGGCTAGCCTTGAATTTTCAATCTTCCTGCTTCAGCCTTTTTCCAAGTCTCTGGAATTACAGGTGTGAACCACCATGCCTGGCTTGTTTGGGGTTTTTAATGTTTACTTATTTATTTTTTGAGTGCCCTGGATTGACCATCCCTTGCCTTCTCTCAGGGGAATGTTTTCATCTGCTAACAGGGCAGAAAGGAACATCTGCAGAGGTGTGGACCAAGTCAGGAAAGGCAAGTGCCAGAGAAATTACCAGTGCACTTGAGGTTTCTATCATGGAAGTAACTCTCCCTGACCAGGTGCAGGAGGCATGCTGTGTTGTGCTCTGGATGCTGGCTCTGCAGGGGGCTGGGAATGGGCAGGAAGTACCAGGCTGCCTGGGAGAATGGCACCAGATCTTCCCAAATACAGGGAAGTGGCAAGTAGCTGTGGGTAATGGTAGTGGCATAGCAGCCTCCACATTGCTCTGTTTACACCCCAACCAGGGCACAGAATGATGCCTGGAGGCATAGCTCTGGATACTACAGTCCCTGGATGCTGGAAAGCTAGGGAGAGGCTAGATGGCAGGGATAGGAGCAAGTGTGGGCTTGCTCTGTTTCCTTTTGTGTCTTTTGAATGTAGAGCTATAGGTATGCATTTCCTATTAAAAATAAAAGTACCTAACAATAATTAAAATAATTCAATAATTTAAAAATGTTCCCCAGTCAGGCACAGCGGCCCATGTCTATAATCACAACAGAAAAGGTCAGCTGGTCTATAGGGATTTTTAAATAACTAGTCATGATAAAAAAATTCAACAAAACCACAAAATTATGAGTGATGCTGGGTTGCAGTAAGTGTCCTCAGATGGGGTCTCCATGCTGTGGATTTCTCTTCTGTATGTCTGCTGTTGTGCTGGGTTGTTAAAGCTCTTTGGCAGCACCTGAGAGCTGTCTGCCCACAAGGAGGCTGACACTGAGCTATCCTGCAGCATGAACAGAGTGCTGTACTGGGTGCTTCAGCCATCTAAGCAGCAGAAGACGTGCCCTTTCCATGTTCCTTAGGCAAAGGAAGTCAGCACATCCTGCACTAGCAGATCCAAGCAGGAGTCAGTCTGCATGTTATGAAGACTCCACTGTGTACAAGGCACAAAGACAGAACTCTGGATGGGCTTAGAAGAGACAAGTTGTCCTCAATCAGAGATGCTTGGATTTGTTGCCAAAGATGTGTATTTTTCACATTTCAGGTGCTGAGTTCCCTCGGTTACCATGTGGTCACCTTTGACTACAGAGGTGAGATTTGAGAGTGCATCTGTGCACATTCCCACTTCTCCTAATCGTATCTAATGGACATGCTTGCTCTAAGAGCCTATAGGTCTGGCAGCTTGCTTTTGTTGGTCTATGACCTGTGACAATTGTAACCATGTCAAGGGTGGTGAAGGCTTTGGGTCTTTTCTGATGTGGGTCCAGAGAAATGACTTTTCTGGCAAAGCCCCTGACAGATACCTGAGAACACCTGGTAAGATAGGCGCTGGCATCTGGAAACCCCAACATGTGTCCCAGCAACATTTAAATGAAAAAAACATTGCCTTTGTTTTTTCTTTTTCTTAACTGGATTCAAACTCTCCCCAAGCTGGAAATTAGGCAAATTTTATGCTCAGCAGCAGAGCCAGCCTTGTGAAGTAATAGAAATAGGAAATAAAATCATTAAGAAAGAAAACCAATTCTTCTGTACCCTCAGCACTTCTTTCTGTTTTGAATGAATCAGGTTTTGCTAGTAGACAAATCAAGAATCCACAGTTTGGGCTGGGGATGTGGCTCAAGCGGTAGCGCGCTCGCCTGGCATGCGTGCGGCCCGGGTTCGATCCTCAGCACCACATATCAACAAAGATGTTGTGTCCACCGATAACTAAAAAATAAATATTAAAAATTCTCTCTCTCTCTCTCTCTCCTCTCTCACTCTCTCTCTCAAAAAAAAAATAAGAATCCACAGTTTGATGTACGTTACAAATATTCTACCTTAACAAGCAGTAGAAGTGCTTTGTATCAACAGTAAACAGCCAATTTAAAAGAATACTCTTCCATATTTGGAAGAGCTTGGAAAGTAGTTCACTTTATCATCCTTTCCTCTTCCTGTTACATGCTGGACATCTTAGGATAACAATAAGGGGCCACTTCCTCTTTGTTCACCACCCTGTATGGCTGTCATGAAAAGCACCCCACAACACCTTCTCTTTTCAGTTCTTACTGCATCTCTGCATTTCTGAGTAGTATGAGTGACCCCCTAGTTCCACCTTTGACTATTTTTCTGTCTCTCTATTCCTGTCTCGATGGACCACCTCCATATTTCTGTCACTCCTCTCTCTCTCCTTCTACTTCCATATTCCTATGTCCCTGTCACCCACAGGGTGTCTTGAGTCTTCAGCCTTACCCTGTCCTTCCTCACCCCTCCTTCCTCTGAGGTCAGGGAGCCTTTTCCTTCTGTCCTTTTGCATTAACTGGGGTTTGCTTATGCAGCAGGACCAGCTCTTCTGAACCTGGTAGTGCTTTCATTTCATTTGATGATGACTCACTGCTGAATTGCTAGAAAGACAATTGCACTTAACCTTTGCAGGAGATGGGAGGAGGAGCAGTTGGGGAGGATCAGAGTTGCCTTGAGCCTGGAAATCCTCCTTCCTATTCCAGCTCTGCTTTTCTTCAGACCTTGGGCAGGATAGGCTCTTCCTGGCTGGGTCTGTCAGCATTCCTTCTTGAACTAGCCCCACCACTGGGCTTAAGTGTTGGAAGGTTAGTCTCCCATCAGGGAAAGGAAGGAGGAGAGCCTCTGGCCTGGCCTTAGAGATGCCCATACTTGTAGGCAGCCCTTTCAGGGTATGTGTCTGAGGTTCTGGCATGTATTTTGTTGACTCTGTTCTGTTAGTCACCAAGTATGCAGCCCACCTACTTAGAATGACTGGAAACCTCTGGTTTGTCCAGTCATCGGGGGACAGGAAAGATCACTGCCAGGCCCTCCCATCTTCCCTCACCAGTGCTGGAGGGTAAGTGAGGGCCTCTCCCTCCCCTAACACCCAGTCTGCCAGCAATGTGGGTGGGACCAAAGGCATTCAGCAGACAGCTTCTCTACTGTCGCTCTCCTGGTTTCATGATTTGCCTTTGACTTCCTTCTCCTACCTGCTGTTCCTCTCTTGCAGGTTGGGGTGACTCAGTAGGAACACCATCGGAGCGGGGCATGACATATGATGCACTCCACGTTTTTGACTGGATCAAAGCAAGGAGTGGTGACAACCCTGTGTATATTTGGGGCCATTCCCTGGGCACTGGGTAAGAGCTTCCAGCAGGAGTGAACTTTAGTGGACTTCCAGGTGACACTCCAGCCTGGGATCTGAAAAGAGCCCCTGGCCTTGAGGATGCCTCTGACCCTGAGACACCATCAGTCTCAACAATCCTGATTCCTGGTACCTGTAGTGGAGGGTAAAGCACCACAGAGTACCTCAAAGGGACTGAACTGCTATAACTCTGTATCCCAGGAAGTACCTTAGGACAAACAGGGGTAGTTGTAACAGAGTCGAATATCTCTGCAGAGGGCCCTCACCCAGTGCAAATGGAACAATGCTCCTGCTGTGCGGGTACTAGGGCTTTGTGTCAGATATGACTTTGAAGAGCATGGGCAGGCCATCAAGTCCAAGTGTGCAAGCTAGAAATGTTATTAAGCAGCTTTGCCATTTAGACACCAAAAAGTGTAGGGGAGGAGCAATGTGTTGTCTGCATCCTAAATCTGCCAAGACAGGAAGCATCCTAAGTCCATTTGTGTACAACCTGAATTGCTTCTGCTGATGCAAGGTCTAGGATATTTCTGAAAGGAGCCTTCTGTAGCTGCCCCTCTTCCTTCCACCTTTTCCTTCAGAGACAGTGACTTGGCCTTTTCTCAGCTCTTGCTCCTCACTTGGACTGCATCCTGTAGGTTGGAAGTATGTAGTGCAGAGCCCCTATTCCTTTTGGAAAATGATTAGTGTGCCTCATGGCAGGCCCTAATGCAGGGACACCAACTATTCCTGTGACTGTCTACGTGGACCTGCCCTGTGTGATCCTGGGATGGTGATAGGCCCCTGGTCCTTGTTGGTGATTAATACTGCCATCTCCAGGAAGGGTGCATGCAGACCCCAATCTCCTCCCCACTGACAGGGTGGGAGTCAAAGGCACCTTGTCAGAGGGGTCAGCAGGTGGCCTGTGCCCTCCTCCTTGGAGACATTTTATTACCCCTACTCTGCCTTGAAACCCCATCATTAGTTTCTCAGGTCCCAGAGCTTCTCTGAATGTTCTCCAGGATCAGGACAATCTCATCAAAACAATTTTGGTCATAATTCAACTGAACTGTATTTTTCTTTCTTTCTAGGGTGGCGACAAATCTAGTACGGCGCCTCTGTGAGCGAGGTACAGACCTCTGCTGCCCTGAGCTGGGCCCCTCATCCTAACAATTAGCATTCCAGCACCTACTGCAAGTTCTTGAGGATGCCAGGGCTGGCCAGCAAGCAGCACAGTGATGGCACTAGCTGGGCATCAAGGGTGGAGATTCTGGGTTGACCCAAGCCTCCCATAGGATGCTTGGAAGCCACCTGGGGCCCCCTCGTGGGCACCCCCCACACCTGACTGACAGGGGTGGATTGCCATATGGAAGAGATGCCCCTTAGACTTACTGTCCCATCAGGGGAACTCTCACATGGAGCCTTCACCTGGGCCACTCAGACCTTTGTTTGTGATTTTGTTTATCTAGAGACACCTCCAGATGCCCTTATATTGGAATCTCCATTCACTAATATCCGAGAAGAAGCAAAGAGCCATCCATTTTCAGTGGTAAGTGCAGATTTTATTAAAAACTAAATTTTTTTCATTATTAAGATAATTACTATAACATATAAAAGTAGCTAAGTGGATAATTACAAATAAGAATAATAATTATAAAAATATAATTTAAATATTCTCATGAATACAGATTTCATTAAAAAATGAATCCTAGTTCTAGGCACTGGCCTGCCTGCAGAGCTTCCCAGAAAACTCATAACTTTGCAGCCAAGTAGGATGGAAGAGTTGGATTGTTGAAGGGCAGCTGGCCGCCAGGAGGCCTTCCCATGTGGTCTCATTACTTGCGTAGTACTGTTGCCCACGTGTTGTCACTGCCCACCATGTTGCTATTAAGCAAGCCTGTGGGGCTCAACCCAGGCTGAGGCAGATGTCCTGGCTCCCACCCCAGGGATGGAGCTGGTGGGTATCCAGTACTCTCTGCTTGGGAGCCAGGCAGGGTGGATTGGGGAGTCTGGCCTCCCCATCATGTCTTTGTGTGAAACCCATGTAACTCTCACTGGAGATTCCAGGGTGAATTAGCCCTTGTGTCTCTCACTATCTGTGACTGAAGCCTTGGACCCTTCTTATAAATTCTGATCCCTTATTCTCTCCTTCCTACTGTGCATTCTGAGCCCTGTGTTTTGGACCACCTTGATCTCAAGCAGCTGCAGAAGCCTTTTATTTTGTCTTAATTTCTGAAATTGCATTTTCTCTGAAATTGCATGAGGAAAGCAGCCACAGACCTTCATTTTCTTGGAGATGGCAGCCCTCGTGTCTATGGGAAGTGTGGCTTCTGAACTGGATTTTGGTGACAGCACTGAGGTGCAGGAGCCCCATTTGCAGGCAGCTCCTGCTATAGCCTGTTTATGGGCCTGGTGGGTTAGTTTTCTGCCCCTAATCACAAAGCAGGGGGTAGGAGTTGTCCCCTCTGCTACAGAGATAGGTATTTAAGGGTATTATATTGTAAATTCCTGAACTTAAACTGAGTGCTTGACCTTTTTGCCTTCCACATAAATATCTTAATAAGTTCTTATGAAAATGGTTTCCATCTTGTCTTCAGATATATCGATACTTTCCTGGGTTTGACTGGTTCTTCCTGGATCCCATTACAAGCAGTGGAATTAAGTTTGCAAATGATGAAAAGTAAGTATTGTGGTTGACTGACTAATTTAGGAAAACACCAGGAACCCCCTAGATAAGCCTCATTTGTCACATTACCCAACTAAAGTGGAATTCAGGATATTTAGTGTTGTTCTAACAAAACTGATCTTTTTAAAAAGGGAAAGCCTGGGCTGGGGATGTGGCTCAAGTAGTAGCGTGCTCGCCTAGCATGCGTGAGGCACTGGGTTTGATTCTCAGCACCACATAAAAATAAAAATAAAGATATTGTGTCCACCTAAAACTAAAAAAAATAAATATTAAAAAAAAATTTTAAAAAGGGAAAGACTGCAAGAAAAAGAAATAGAAATTTTAAAAGACTATAAAATTAAAGCAAAATTAAAATAGCATATATTTAAGTGACTGCCTCAGCAATTTGATATGTGTTTGGTAATAGAAAGATATTATAAAGTTTATTATTAAAAATATTTCTTTTGTGTTTATGGTATGGGGGCGAGAGAGGGGAGATGAACCCAGGGCCTTGTGCATGCCAGGCAAATGTTCTGCCACTGAGTTAAATCCCCAGCATTTTTAAAATTTTGAGATGGGGTCTCACTAAATTGCTCAGGCTGGTCTCAAACTTGCAATCCTACTGCCTAAGCCTCCTGGGTAGCTGAGATTAAAGACCAACTATTAAAAATATTTCTATTAGTAAAACACAATTATGTATTTCTAGTTAAGGGCTCTTTCTTTAAAACAAAAATTGAATATTCTTGTTGAGGCGTTTCATTAAACCACTTTCAGATTCTATTGACATTGTCTTTAAGAATTTTCTGTTTCATGGATTTTAATTTCTTAAAAAAAGAGAAAAAGAATAAACCTTAACCTTATCTAAATATACAGTTAATATTCAACAATCTACATTTGGAAACAGAATATATAAAATTACAGCATTTTTTCTCTTCAAGTATATATTCTTTTTAAAAAATTTATTTTTGAGTTGGACACAATAGTTTTGTTTATTTTATGTGGTTCTGAGGATCGAACCCAGGGCCTCGAATGTGCTAGGCAAGCATTCTACCGTTGAGCAACAACCCCAGCCCTCAAGTATATATTTTGAGTCTCAGAACAAAATAAAATTTTAGCAAATATTACAGGCAAAATATCCTGCTTGTTTGTAAGTATTGTTTTAGAACTTAAAAAATATATACCTGAATAAACTGGATTCCTTCTTAAAATATAAAAGTGAGTACTATGCCTCAGCAAGCTACTTTTGGCCCTTACCCTCACATGTGGATTCTATGGTACCATGACCCATGGGACTCCAGCCCATATCACTGGAAGTCAGGGGCCCAACCTCATGTGCAGTCAAGCTTTCTGAGTAGGGTCCATACCAAGTACTTCCTGCTTTCTCGAGGAACCTCAGGTTGAAGGGACTCACACACTCGAAACACTCTACCATGAAACAGGAATATATGGTGTGGCCCTGACAGGATATAGATTATGCAAGAGGCTGCATGTCTGTGGGTGACAATCTCTCCCCAGTCTGGGTGCTGCTGCAGGTTCCAGGACAGCACCAGCATTGCCCTTGTGGAAGACACGTCCCTACTGGGGACTCGAGCCAGGCACCAGGGCACATGCCTGTAAGTTCAGTTACTCGGGACCTGAAGCAAGAGAATAACAAGTTCAAGTTTAGCCGAGGCAATTCAGCAAAACCCTGTCAAAAAGGGCTTGGGGGTTTGACCTAGTGATAGAGAAGTCCTGTGTTCAATCCCCAGTACCACATACACACACAAAAAAAGATGGAGACTGTAGTCAGCAGCCACCTCAGTGTTGGACTGACAGGAGAGTTCAGACCCTGTCCAATCCTGGGAGTTTGTCCCTTTTGTTACATGGTTTGTTAAAGGGATCTGGCTCTATTGAACCTTCTGAAATTTTAATTTATAAACATTTAGAGCTGGAGTGACCTTAAATGTCATTTACACCAAAGATAAAAGATATTGACTTTTTCTACCAACATGTATTCATAGTAACATTCATTTGCAGTAACTTCTTTTTAAAAAAAAAAAAAGAGAGAATTTTAATATTTATTTTTAGTTTTCGGCAGACACAACATCTTTGTTTGTATGTGGTGCTGAGGATGGAACCCGGGCCGCACGCATGCCAGGCGAGCGCGCTACYGCTTGAGCCACATCCCCAGCCCTGCAGTAACTTCTTGGCCCATGTAAATTATTCAGTTCATAAGTATTTTTTGTAACTTTTAAAGAACATGCAAACTGGCAAAATAAACATTCTCAATTTTTAGAAAATACTCAGGGGCAAAATTTGGGGAATGAATTGATCTCTAAATTTAATTGACACTTATCCCCTAACTGGAATACATATTGATTTAAAGAAAAAAACTAATAAATTATCTTTTCATTTTCTAGTAAAGACATACCTGTTAAGAACCACAGTAAAACCTAAACCCAGATCCCTGCCTTGGTGGAGGGTCCAGACAACGCCACCCTCTCCCCAGTCTATAGCTGGTCCTCTTTCTCTCCCTCCACAGTGTGAAGCACATCTCCTGTCCCCTGCTTATCCTGCATGCTGAAGATGACCCCGTCGTGCCCTTCCAGCTTGGCAGAAAGGTGGGTGTCCTGGGCTTGTGCCCCAGCATGTGGGACTGGACATGGGCAGACAGGGAAGAAGTGGGCTCAGGCCATGTTAGCCTCAGAGACCACTTTGTCCTTGCTGTATCCCCTCCACATCTTTTCAGAAGGGCATGAGAGGTCTGGTAGCAGAGTATGGGTTGGGGCCAGACTACCGATGCTTCCCACATGAGGAACTATGAAAAATAAATGAATAACTAATGGGTCCCCACACTGGGATTCTTCTCAAGTGGAGAGCTATCCATGTTCAAGAGCCAAGGCCAACTTGGGACTTGGTCAGGAGGACTCCTCAGTTATGAGCTGATGGGGAAAGACCCTGAATAATGAGGATCCCCAACCTCAAAGCAGAGGTCCTAGCTGGTAGAACTAATACAGAAACTTCTAGTCTGTTTTCTTGCCTTTGGGATGAGACTTATATGAGAAGAATTCTGTGTTATATGTGTTGCCTCAGCATTGGTTTTTGCTGACTTTGCTGCCAGGAAGCAGGGTTAGACTTGTGGGAAGGAGTGGGCTAGACAGTACTGCATAGGCACAGCAATGGGAAGAGGCAAGGGGAATCTGGAGGGATGAGTGCTGGGCTTCACTGGCAGATTCAGCCCCATGCTCAGAACATTTTTTGCCTGGAAAAGCCTCTACCCACATATGAGCTCCATAAAGTGCACAGATAATGAAGTCATGTAGGAGGACACAAAGCTGCCCAGAAGTGTACACTCAGACCCATGCACCCCCAGCCATCTACAGAAAAGGAGGGAGGGAGCTGAGACGGGACAAATTATGAGCCAGATTGTTGATTGGCCTTGACCCAGGAACACACAGCTAAGCCTGAGAAGCACACTCTCCATCCCAGGGTTCTCCTCACCCGCTACCATTGCATCATCCCTGCCATTGTCCAGCTAGCTGCTCCCTTGAGGACCAGCTGAGGGCAGTCTGGGAAGCAAGAACAGAGAAAAGGTCTTGAACAGTAGGCTTGCTGAAGATGAGGAGCAAAGCCTAAGGTCTGGCTCCTCTCAGCTCAAGCCCTGTTCCCTAAGTCCACTGCCCCAACCCATGGCTGTGACCAGCAGCAGCGGCAAAAGTGTACATGAGAGCTTGGGATGTTCTTTGGTGGAAGCAGCCAGACTGGTCTTTTTGGAGGAGAGGCTGCAGGCAGGTCTCCCTCAGGTCCTGGGCCTCCATGCCAGGTGCCATCTCTGGGCTCTGAACCATCTCTCCCTCCCTCCAGCTCTATAACATTGCTGCACCATCTCGAAGCTTCCGAGACTTCAAAGTTCAGTTTATCCCCTTTCATTCAGACCTTGGCTACAGGCACAAATACATCTACAAGAGCCCCGAGCTTCCACGGATACTGAGGTAAGACCTTCTCTTCTCACCTAGGGACCTCATCTGGGGAGTAGTGGCTCATGCCTTGGGCATGCAGCCTGTGGCAGCCACTGAAGTTGTTTGAGGAGCTCAATGGGGCCCAGAGCCAGAATAACTCAAGAGCCTTCTATTAACATCACAGAAGGGTTGGAAAGTTTATGTTCTCTCCATCTTGGACTGCACCCATGCTCAGAGGAGTGGGTGATCTTCCCATTGTAAAGGTCATACAGGACCATGAGAACATACATAGGGCAGCACACAAGTCCGTTCCCAGCTCACAGATGGCCACACATATATAGGAGCACTCAAATACATATCTGCCACTGCCTCAAGCTCTTCAAAAGCCTGACCCCAGCTACTGTTCAAGGAGATGCTGTGTTCCTGGATGCCTCAAAGTGGCCAGAATCTTTGATAGAACAGGGACTGTACCTCAGAGAACAGAGCCCAAATATGAGAGTGAGGCCTTGGCAGTGGTGACAAAGGGCAGAGTTTGGAATGGACCAAACTACCCCTTCACTTATGCTTCTGTCTAGATTGCTGCCCAGCCTCACCTTCCTGTCAAAGGACACAGGCTGCTGGGCATGATGATACATGCCTGTAATCCCAGCAACTCGGGAGGCTGAGGCAGGAAGATCACAGATTCAAGGCCAGCCTCAGCCTCTTAGGCCCTAAGTTACTTAGCAAGAACCTGCTTCAAAATAAAAAATTTAAAAAACGTCTGGGGATGTAGATCAGTAATAAAGTACCCCTAGATTCCATCCCCAGTACTAAAAACAAAGAATAGACAGGCCCCAACACCAGCCATGTGACTTCAAGCAAGATGCTAAATTTCTCTGTGCACGAGACAGTCAGAGGATGATGTGTAGTGCTTAAATGGAGCATTGGGCTGCATAGAGTCTGCTGTCGCTGTTAATAATAGGGTAATTTTTGCTGTTTTGTGCCAGTAGGCTTTGAGAAGTAGGTCACAGTGATAGTTTCTTCCTGCAGTGACTAAAATTGCTTGCCTGAATCAACTCTAGGGAGGTATAACTCATGTGTAATTCTACTTCCAACTTCAGCTCCTCTCTAGCTGCCTTTGAGAGTTCCCGAGGCAAAGTTGCATTTCTTTAAAGGATTATCATCCTTTGCCACTGGGATATGAGACCTAAGAAAGTATAGATTTGCTTCAGGGTTGTAATTTTTTTCCATTTTAAAAGGAATTATGTTAGCCAGCTTTTCATTGCTGTGACCAAGAACAACTTAGAGGAGGTAAAGTTTCTTTGGGGCTCATAGTTTTAGTGGTCTCAGTCCACAATCCCATAGACTCCATTGCTCTGGACCTTTTATGAGACAGAACATTGAGGTGGAAGTGTGGTAGGGAAGGTGGTAGGGAAGGTGGGGAAGAGAGAGAGGTACCAAATGAACCATGCTCCCAGTGACCTACTTCCTCTAGCTATGCCCACCTGCCTACAGTTACCACCCAGTTAGTCCATTCAAACTAGGATGGATTAGGTGACAGCTCTCATTATCTAATCATTTCACCTCTGAACATTCCTTCATTAACACAGGAGTGTTTGGGGGACACCTCATCTCCAAACCATAACAGGAATATATTACAGAGAATTTAGACTGAGTATAGAGCTAAATTTTAGAATAAGGGATGGAAGCCCTGGCCTGGATTTGACACAGTACAATGCCATTTGTGCTCCGCTTACCTCAGTATTTTTCTATTCAGGAGCACGGTGCTCCTTAGATTCTTTGCCCCCTCCTCTGTGTGCCCTCTGCTTCTTCAGCTACTTGAGGATCACTGGGATGGAATCTTTGGTCTGAGCTCAGTAATTTGGCCGTTTGTCCTCTTTTGATCTAGGGAATTCCTAGGGAAGTCAGAAGCTGAGCGCCAGCACTGAACCTGGCCTGGGAAGGGAGCATGAARACCTGCCCTCCTCCCCTTTTCCTCTGGTCTGCAGCCCCGGCCCCTGGAACCCGGGGAGTGCCACACCTGCGGTGCTCAAGAGCCTGGTGCATACCTGGAGAGAGGACTCAGATGCAGCCTGGCAGGCAAAGAGGTCCTGCCGGTGACCAAACATGTATCTGTGTGGACGGTGTTGGTGGCAGGCATGGGGCCACTCTCCCTCTCCTGCCACTCTATCTGAGCTCTTGCTGGGAACACTTACAGCAGCAGCGCACTTGGCCCCACTTGGTTGATCCCTTACTTTCTGAGCCAGGCATGGAGAGCCTGGGCAGGGGGCTCAGGGGCTCGGGACCACTCTGAGCTTTCTGACACCACCTGCCAAGAGTGTGGAGACATGGCTTATTTCTGCCCTTCCAGACACAGGCAGAACGGACTCCAGCAGTTGGATTATCTCCTCTGGCCCTGTGCATACTGCTTGCCTTTCTGGGCCAACTCTGCCTCCCCTGGGTGTCCGCTCACCCACAGCAAGAGTGCCCGGGATCTGCACTTCTCTCATTCCACCCACCTGTCCTCCTAACCTGGCCGTAGACTGAGCATTTATTTAAGAATAAAATTGTGGTGGTGGTCTGTTTGTTCTTCATTCTGCACAGCAAAAAGGATCAGCAGTGCCTCCCTGCCTCCCAGGTTCTCCCACAGCCCCAGCTCTGGATCCCTGCTTTTGGATGGGAGGAGGGAGGTTCTCTCTTTCCAGACACCAGGGTTTCCTTTAGTGGGCAAAGCCTTTACCAACGTGGTAGCTTTTTCCTAAAATGGAAGCCTAGCCAGGCAATGCTGTCCCTGTTGCAGTGTCAAGCCAGCATACACACAGCCTGAGGTCCCCAAAAGGACCTCCACTGCAGAGCACATGCACTGAACATCATCTCATTTCCCAGTGTCTCTTGAACTAATGGATATGTTGTTTGGCTTATGGTCAAACCAGCCCTTCCTGCAGCTACTGGAACCCATAATATCACCCACATGTGCAGACTCCCAGCAAGGTGGAATAGGGTCACTAGACATCTGCCAGTCACATGGCAGGCTAAGGAACCTCTGAGAAGGGCAGCAGGGGGATTGCTTAAGTAAGATTAGGTGTTGGAGCCCAAGGGGCTCTCCTGTTGGTTTTGTCTTCCTGCCTTCTGCATCTAACAGATGGGACAGTGCAGGTCTCCTGGGGACTCAGCCTCTGCTGATGCCTAGCCTTCCTCCTCTAGGTCCTCAGGCTATAGAACTTTTCAGCTGTCGGTATGCCCAGTATTAGCACCTATGGACTGGTGGGGGAGGGGGGCTGAGCCCAGCACAGTATATATCCTCTCCATTYTGAGGTACCTTAGACCTACAGTGATTCTAGAAGTAGAAAACAAATACCTTTCCCATTCCAAGGTTGGAATAAGGTCAGTTTGTGAAAACATTTAAGTATCTTCTTCCTGACAAGACTCTTGGCATGTAACCAGGGTCAGTCTTCTGCCACCTGTAGACAGCTCACCCAAAAGCAGGATCTGAGTGCACTGCCACTACAAGTCACAGCCCTCAGAGCTGGGATACTTGCCCTGCCTTTCACAGCCTTTTTGCATAACTGGTGTATGCCAGGGGGCTTCAAGGCACACAAGACCAAGGCAGCCCTTGTATAAGGCAATAGTAGTCTGAAGTGCAAATCCAGGCCATGGACTCTGTTTCACACTGAAGTTCCTGACACCTTAGCAGAGGTGACTGCTGTGCCTCTACCTGGGCCAGTCTTTTTTTCTGTCTCTGCAAGTTACTTCAGACTCATTGGTGGGGAAATGAGACAAGATGTAGAAAAACATTTAAAATACAAATGGGTTTTTTTTACAAGTGTGTGACAGGCAAACTAAAGAAGGAATGTAAGGGAGCCCTGAGCTGGCAGCTGCTTTGCTATTATCTATCAGTTAAATGAAAATTTCCACAAACAGCAACAAAGCTTACATTGTGGGTTTCAGACCATTTAATGTAAGATCAATCAGGACCAGTCTTTCTTTGAAGAAAAAAAAAAAAAAAGGAAGCTAGGAGATGTGACATCTTGGGGGTAAAGCACTGTGCAGCTGCACTTGTGTCCCAGGAATCTCAGGACAGCCTCCCAAACCTGGGAATTGTAGTAGACTCATTTTGGCACTGACAACAGCATGGGATAGAAGTGAAACTGTGAGAAGAACTTGCCAGATGCCAAGACAAGGAAGTCCATGGCACTATATCAACCTGCAATAGTTTTTTCCTTTCTTTTTTTTTTTTTTATATTGGATATTGAACATGGGTGCTTTACACCTGATAGCTCTTTTTGAATTTTTGAAATAGGGTCTCCCTAAGTTGTTGAGGCTGGTCTAGCAATGCTCCTGCTTGAGCCTCCTGAATTGCTTGGAATTCAGGAGGTGCCACTGCACACAGCTCCTGATTTTTTTCTGCAGCTATAGATACAATTCAGGAGATGATTTGGTTTCCAGGCCCAGGAACTGGTGGCAGAGGCAGTAAGTGCAGAGAGGGACCAATACATTCACACTAATGCAAATACTTTCATTCTATTGCCAGTAAAGTGTTTCACATGGTTGGATTTGATGACTTTTTAAAGAACAGGTAAGTCCCACACGGTGGGGATGAGAACTCTTTGTCTTTGAAACCAGAACACATAATTCTGGAACCATAATTCAGCACTGGCACAGGTTACAAAGAACTGAAGCCCATCTGCCAAGGTCATCACCCTGGCCTCAGGCCTGCACCCTCCCACCTCCTATAGAACCCTCACAGTGTTGTGTGCAGTGAGTGAAACAGACACAACATCCACTAACCATGGGCAAAAAGGTTTAATCAGTTTCTCATACCAAGCAGTAACAGCAAGTGGTAGGGTTGTGGCCACCCACAGCCAGCTTCAGGGAATGTGGCCTCACAGCAGATGACCATAGCCCCAGAGTTTGCCACCACCCAAAAAAAGACCCCAGTGGTTCTGGTGGAACTGTGCACTGTGAGCAAATCCTCCCCAGCAAAGCTGGGGTGAGGGAAAAGCCTTCCCTGGCACCTCAGGTCTGGCATGCAAAGTATGGAAGCCTTTGGAAGGGTGTTTCCATCTGACTTCTCCAACCACCAACTGACTGGAGATGGGCAGCACTAGACTCGTGCTAGGTTCTGCCCCATAGCCTCAGCCTGAGGAGGGGTTTGGCTGAGAGGGCTCACCCTCAATTCCCTCCCAGGCCTACTGTATGAGTACAATGGAAACAGGTCCTCTTGGTCCACTGCTCCTTTTTGCAGACCAGGATGCTGCACTGGTGGAAGGGGAAGAATAGTCTTTGTATGTACAACAGAAAAATGCACCCCAGGATATGGATGGGAGGTGTCAGGAGGGTACAGATCCACAGCAGAGTCAGCAGCCCTGCCTCAGGCCCCAGTACAGGATAGGCAGCTAGTCTTGTTGGGCACAGTGGCTAGTTATTACCTCCAGCCAGGCAAAAACAGCCCTAGCATGGCCTCCTACAGACCCAAAATTGACCAAGTGCAATTTTTAGTTGCTAAAACAAGAGATTAGTTTCATTTCCTTGAGTAATTTTTCTTTTGAAAAAGAAAAACCAAGCTAACCCTGCTTCAGCCAGCCTGTCTTAACCAATGCCTCTGAGACACCAAAACAAGTCCTTCCCCAATGTTCCTTCCCAGATGTCCCGAGTCTAGGGCACCCACATGGCTCCCAAGATGACTACAAAAGGCAGAGCCCATATACCAGGAGAAGAGCCATGGACAGGGATCAGAAGACAGGCAGCCATGAGGATGATGCCTGAAGGATTTGACTCCCCAACAGGGATAGAAAACAGTTGGCCAAGGAGACCACACTGGGCTTAGCCCTGCCCAGGTTCTATGGAAATACATGTCCCCAAGCTTCACCACAGACACCTGCCCAAGCCCCAGAATCCAGAGAATCAAAACTAAATATGTGTGCAAATTTTCAGGGAGCCCATGAGATGGCTCTACCTCCTACCTACCCTCTCTGGGGATGGTTGGCTGAAGCTATGGGGGTCAGCTTTGCCCATCTGTACTGAGAATTCTTTCCTCTACAGGAAAGCAGGAAGATGTCCCCCACTCCTAGCATCTTCCTTCCTTGCCCCCGTCTTCAAAAACACCCTCTCGACCCTACAGCCCCTCCCAGAACCAGCACTGAGAAAAGCAGGAACCACTAGCTGCTGGCAAAGTGCTTGAAAACTGGCATGATGTGCAAAATCAACCAAACAAAAGCCCGCTGGTCCTGCTCACAGGGCACCTAGTCCTTGGGGATATTGGGAGGTGGGATCTGCAGGTCGGAGGGTTCCACTCCCCAGATGTCCCGTGCATATTCAGTAATAGTCCGGTCACTGGAGAACTTGCCAGAGCAGGCAATGTTCTTGATGACCTTCTTGGTCCACTCCTTGGGGTTCTGTGGGGGAGGGAAAGACTGATTAATCTTTGGCACCTTTGCTGGGGCCAAGAGCTCCCAAGAGAGCCTGAGCTTCCGGAATGTCAGGTCTGTTTTCTAGATAAGCCTGGGAAGAAGATATTATACTCATGTGCTCAGAGAATAGGGGAATTCCTACCGAATGACTACATGTAAGGGGCAAGAAGCTAAGAAAGGGTAGCCCGTCACATACATATATAGCACAGAAACACCAGCAGGGGTAAGCACTTGCCACAGGTAGATCCAATGTCCATGGGAGATGGTCAAGCAGTCTTCTGTCCTGGGCCTCACCCATCTCCTATCTTCCATCATAGCCTTACAGCTGCCCCAAAATTATACCCAGCACCAGTAGGGTCTCTTCAGAAAGGCCTGACTCTTCCAAGCCATTCCAAATTGAGGGAAAAGGGTTCCTCCAAGAGCCCCACTAGGGAACTCAGTTTCCAAGTCCCATGTTCCTACTCTCAGCTATGAAAGCTGTTTCCCCAAGACAGGAAGTGACAGGGTTGCCCTAGAGACTGACAGAGCACATGAGAGACAAATCACAGCCCCAATCCCCTCTAGCTTTGGCCAAGAACCTGCTTCCACAGTTTGGGAAATGAAAAATCTGACTTAGCAAGTCTGTAACAAACCACCTAGCTGGCCCTGGAGCCCACAAATCTTACCCGGTACAACTGGTCCACCTGGGCTTGGCACTGCATGTAGGCTTCATAGTCTGCAAACACTTTGAACCTGAAATTAGGACAGGACACTGAGCCAGGCTGGTAAATGGCAGTGGGTGAGAAGCCCTGCCCAGAGCAGCCTGCCATGTGGTCCTAGGGGACAATCCCTCAGCCAGAGATCAGAAATCACCTGCCTGGCCCAGCCCTCATCCTACAGCTCTGTTAGGGGCTGGAATGAAAAAGCCACCCCATTTGTGGGGCTAGGCTGTGCCAGATCCATCTGACTATAGGGCTTCCCTATGAGCAACATTTATGTCCAGGAGATGCTATTTGATAAAAAATCTTATTTCAACCCAATATTCCTTTAAGGAAACTGGTGTTTACAGCACTACCAGCACATACAGGGCTACTAGAGCTGCACACACCCATATTATCCTGTGCAGACCCAAAGCAGCAGCCTATTTCACTGCCAGGGCCAAGACACACCTGATGAGTGACACTGCCAT